TCCATCTGTTTTATTTACTACAGTTAGTTATATGATCTACCTTGAAAATAGTGGCAACACTTCTTATTCAGATATCACCATCCAGATTTTATCCCAAATTTGTCACTCAGAAATATAAACAAATATTCACCGGTTTCACACAACTTCAAATACCGAAAAGACGCGTGTGCGCAGTGGTCACAGCTTGATGTATTGAAATGAACTGCTAATAGACCCTTTGAATATAAAACTACAGGAAGGAGCATAACCTCGAATCTGCGCAACCAGAAAATGTGGAGGTATCATATGGCCGACTAGTGTTTCCGGTTTGGCAGTAGCGCATATTTATTTAAATATGATTGTCAATATTATGACTCACACTTTTCGCACTAATACTAGTGCTTATTATCACTTAAAACCGCTAAAATCCATTAAACCTCCACTTGAATGAGGACACAGCGAACCACCAAAACAAATGATGAGTCCATATTTGGAGGCTCAAAATGGCCGTTTCCGTCCCTGCGTTGTCTGTAGTGGCAGATAGGAAACGCTCCTTCCTGTAGTTTTATATTCAAAGAATAGACCACATGTTTTGGACAATGGCGTATAAATGCGACGTTGCCATATACAGAATTCCACTTTGCCCCTCATTCCACTTTGTCCCACTCTCCCCTATCTATTTTTTCAGCATCGAGAAGCGCACTCTTAAGTATGTTCAGGAGCTCCCACACGCTCATTTTCTACCTATACCACGATGTAGAGCTTACTCGCGCTGTACATTGAGAAATTATAAGCAACGCGGTGTTTCGTATTACAAAGCCTACTGTTTTATAGAGCAGATAGATTCTGCAAAATAGTACAGATAATTACGCTTCCGGTTCTATGAGAAATAATTCGATTCGGTTCGGAGTTCGGACCAATAATTTCGGTTTTAACGCTCACAAACAGAAAAATGTACCTATGTTTCCTGTAATTTGTGGTTTATTTTTTATTGGATTTCTCTGTCTATCTGCAAAAATTTTATCAACAATAATTAATTTTACTAATAATGATAAATTTTTGTGTTCTCGATCAGTTACTTCCAGTTTGTTTTTTTTAACTTTTGCCCGTGCGTCACCAATGAATCCATGCATATTGGGTGCATTCAGAGCCGCTTTCCAGTATGCACATTGGCGCGCTCCAGAGCACCTCGGGGACGCCACGCACTAGATTTGACTGGCGGCTAAACATAGGACTGCGATCCAACGTTGCCAAATTGATTTCGATGCTAGGCGCGTGCCCGCCCACCCCATTGAGCCAAGTTTGGCTGTCTCTGTCAGTCTGTCTTCTTCATTGATCTCTTTGGTGCAAATAAACAAACAAAGCTAGTAGTATTGTATATTGTATTCAGTAGCTCGCTTATTGCTTGTATTTTTGATTTGTGTACGATTTGTTTCTATTTTTTTTTTGAGAGCGCGAATACGAATGAATACTATTTCAAAATGGGTGTGTTTTGCTTTGAATGCGATAAAGTATTTTCGACTCAAAGTAATTATAATCAACATCGACGTGAAGTTCATGGACTTTAATGATAATAATAATAAAATGACATTATTATGGATCTCATTTGTAGTGTCAAAATGACATAATTTATTGGATTGAGTACTTTAATTTAATGCGATTTGATTAGAGTACTAAGTAGTATAATGAGATCCCATTATAAGTACTATAATGAGAAAAAAATATAGGTAGGTTTAGTAGGCAAAAATATGAAAAATTTATTGAAGACAACATTTAACGATTAAAATAATTTACAATTTCTGGAATATAAAATATTGTATGAAATTTGGATCATAAACAATCATTATGGCATACGCCGTGTTATCATCAGACTCGGCTGACGCCTTGTCTGATAATATTCACGGCTAATACCATAATGATCGTGATTATGATCCTTATAACATAAATATCTATAATAGGATTAATTTATTACCCACTAATCATGCGAGACTTTATTTGTTGTATAACAGAAATTAACCTTTAATTATTATTGTAACATTATCCGCAATATAAATCTATTTTAAATTTGGCGCTTTATGAAAGGAGGATTTGGCAACATTGGATCGCGATCCTATGTCTAGCCGCCAGTCTAGATTGGTACCGTTCCAGTATCATGGCGTGAGACGCCTGTCTTAGTGTCAAATATGTCAAATTTTAAAAATAATTGTCTGTTTGTTTGTGCAGTTTGTTTTTTTATTTAGCAAAAATGAAAGAGAATCAAAAATATATATTTTAAAATATTCAATCTTGAACTATAACAAGAAATAAATAGATAAATAGCCACCCACAGATGTGACAGCTGATAGGTTGACGCGTACGTACAGCTCGGGGGCTCAACGCCCCGAGTAGCTCCGGGCGTCACACTCCCATACTGGAAAGCGGCTCAGGCGGCGCCAGCGGCTTAGTTCAGCCACTCAGCAGGAACTTTATTCTCGAAACGGGAGCAGCGCTCTCATTGGAACGAAGTTTCTGTCTTTGTCGTCCGGCATAACACTGACAATGACAGAGCAATCGTACTTATGAGAACGCTGTTCCTTGGTTTCGAGAATAAAGTTCCTGCTGAGTGGCTGAGCTTAGCCGCTGGGACCGCCTGAATGTACCCATTCTTATGAGGTTAACTGGTGGCCGTATTTTGACACACGGAAAGTTGAAAAATACAAACTGCAAGCGGTGTTTTATTGTCATTTGAATAAACTTTCAGATAAATCTTAAATATTATTATTATAAAAATAAATGAAAATCTCAAGCCCCCCACCACGCCGAAGTACCAGTGATGACGTAGGCATCGTGTCGTTTCTCGCCTTAACCTTTGCACAACTGGTTATGATTGCGCTGATTTTTGCCTTTTGCATAAATGGTTTTAGTACATTAATTAACATTCCAAAACAACCATTTTTCAGAACTCGTTCGCCTATTCCTCTTTGCCTATTATGTTAATCAAAATTAAATAATATTTTTCATCATAAATGTATACATATTCTTAACCACGACCGCTGGCGCAAACGGCTAACTACATCGTTGATGACATCGGCAACGGTGCAACACCATATAAACTTGATTCCAAAAATCGAGGCCGATGAGCAATCCTGTACTAGTGTGTAATATCCTTGGTGTAGCCTAGCGGAGTCCAGGGCTGCGTTCAAGAATGCCTACAGCCAAGCCAAAATTGGCATTTTGCGTTCGAGTTCGGCTCCAACCTACGTGGTTCGGCATTAGCGATGGAGGGGGAAAAGTCTATTTTGGCATTAAGCCTAGTCTCCATAGACGCGAAATCGCGGAAAGCGAATTTTTTAAGTGTCATTTTTTGGTGGCTATTTCCGAGCAAATTATTCCCATGTCTCCATAAGCGCGAAATTCGCGTTTTATTTACCAGGTTAAGGTTACCTATGTTTTGTTGTTTTGATTTGATTTAAATGCTTTGAATTTCAAACACTAATCTTTGAAAACCATGAAAGTGATTACTAAAAAACAAAAAAAGATATGTGTCTTGGTGTTGTCTTAATTACATTTAAGGCCCTATTATAATCTTCCTCATCGACCAACAAGCTGTAATTTATGTCTGTTTTCGGGTCTACAATATTCAATTCTTTGGCAGTATCCATTCTTTATTAGGTATCTACAAGTATAAAACACATCAACGACTCATAGAGAACAGAGCACATACCGACAAAAACATAAACAAAACTAAACTGAAAGTAACACCACATAACCTCATTTTTTTTGGCGAAATTTCGCGGAAAGTTAAAAAATAGTTAACTTTTTTGCGACGCCGCAAGAAGTTAAAAAATTCGCGAATTTTTCCCGCCATAAAAAAATCAAATGTTAAATGTCAAATTCCAACCAATCGGAAAATATCCGCAAAAAAAAATTCGCGATTTCGCGTCCATGGAGACTAGGCTTTAGCATTGCTATCTTTGAACGCACCCCGGAAATACGCTCTGTTTTTTACAGTGTTAAATTTATTACGATACGACCAAACAGCACACAGCCTAATTTATGAAATCTTGAAACCGTAAAATACTGGTAAGGTAAGAACCGATTATTTTATATCGGTTCCGGTTCTGCCTGCCTACAACATTTTTATGAAATATGGGTCTCGTTTCGGTTCCGGTCCGCAAAAAAAATTGATCGGAGCAGCGTTTCTGTATAGCGTTTTCAGTAAGTAGAATTAGTGCAACAAAAAAAATGGATTTTTATCTGCTTCTTCAACAGGCCGAGAGAAAGAGATGGAAACATACTCAGTGCTATTTATATTTACTAATTGAATACCCAATAAACAAAGAAATTATATGATTAGTTTGTTTGGAACACTGTTAAATTCCTAAATTAACGTTTTCTAGTCATACCTGGATCATTAATGCTACAAATGGAAAATTATTATTTTGAATTCATGATTCGGAACATTTGTGAACGAAAGCGCCTTTGAAATAGGACACCGAGACGCAGCTTGTCAAACCGGTCGCCGGTCATCTGTCATTTCAATATTTTCTAATTTGTATGTCCACGTCCTATGTAAAATAACAAGAAAAATTAAAATTCTAAAAATATTAAAAGTACTCAATTAATTAATCCATTTTTATTATGGAAAATATCAGTTTATAGTTCATCGGATCGGCTGTGCACCGTGTTCTGTGTAGGCAGGCGTTTAAAAAAGTGAAATTTCTTGTTTTCTGCCTTACACCACTGTCAACTCTGGGGCAGGTGAATCTCAAATTTGTTTTTTTGAAGCTCCAAACCTTTCTGCAGTGTGTTTGCTACTACTACTAAGCCCCAGTCCCAGGGGCCTCGTTTACTAAGCCAGCCAATAACCTTTGAACTGTTGCTTAATGTGCTTGCCCTGCCTAACATTGAGTTGAATTATTTAAATTGTGTTGTGTTGATAATCCCAAAGCTAACATGAATGCCTCAGAACATGGGTAATTATTATTTAACGCCTTTCCCTCTAATTATGTTTTTCTTTTAAATAAAATAATAAATTGTAGATTTAACCCAGCTTTTAACATGGCCACAATCCGGCAGGTTGTTAATGAGGCTATTGAACGAGGTAAGTTGAATAATAATGTTAAGGATATTGAGAAAAATGTTGTCGAACATATTGTTTTTTTTGTTATTAGTTCGCTTGCCTACCCCAATGCGGCTCAGGGACTTGATCAGACAAATAAGGGCTGCTCGCACTGCTGCAGAAGAGCGAAGTGTAGTTAACAAGGAATGTGCCTACATTAGAAGCACTTTTCGGGAAGAAGACTCAGTATGGAGGTAATTTTTTTTCTTCAATTGTATCCATATTTATTTATTTATTTGTGGTCCTTCAAATGCTACAAGACTTTTTGACCATTTTTGCAAGTGAGGGTGAAACTATTCGCTATCTTTATTCTATTTCCTATAATCTATAGTTATTAAATGGCTTTGCAACCCTCTGTGTGGCTTAGGATTTTGTTTGAATATAAATATGTATTTGAATAAGCTATTTTTTAAATATTAATATTATCCCGCCTTAAAAAACTAAATTTATTGAAAATCTAATATAACCCTCATTAGAGTTTTCATTTAACACATTCAAAAATTGTTTCAAGTTTGCAACCCCATTAACCTGTCCAGAACATGTTAATTTTTTTCCTCTAATACACTGTTCACCCTCGTTTCTACCTGAAAACTTTTAAAATATAATAAATAGCTTTCCACAATTTTTTTATCCAAGAGAACTAATTACCTACCTACCTCATGATTTATATGTATCAAAAGTCGCCTGCCTTTGACGTCACATGAAAATGCTACCCTGTTACTTAAGATGCGGAAACTGCTGAATTTCATAAAAAAAGTACCCAAATCCCTGTTGTATAAATACTTAGGTACCTATAGAAAGTTTTGTCATTCTCAGAAATTATAATTTTTTTCATTTATTTGAATTGAAAAAGGAACATTGAACCTTCACATAAGTGGTAATATAACCAGTACCATAGATGCCAAGAAATTTCTAAAACAATGCTTTTCGTGTAACTTACATTCATAAAACTTAGAAAAGTACATTCATTAGTCAAAATGTAATACTTCTACTTCTTGTTGAAACCTACCTACTAAATTAATAACAATCACCTTATTTCCAGATGTCGAAATATAGCCAAACTTCTCTATATTCATATGTTGGGGTATCCAGCACATTTTGGCCAATTGGAATGCTTAAAACTCATAGCCAGTCCACGATTCACTGACAAAAGGTTTGGATATTTAGGAGCAATGTTACTACTAGATGAAAGACAGGATGTACATTTATTGATCACCAATTGTCTTAAAAAGTAAGAAAAACTGTACCTAACTTTTACTTTTTATTTTTGAAGATATAGTGTTTATTTCAACATAAATTGATATTACAATATCGACAAATTTAATCCTCTACTGGATTCGAAGCTTTTTTATTTTTATTTATTGGTCGGGGTTATTAGCTCATTTGCAGAAAGATAGTCCCACATTTTTTGCCTTTTACTATCTTCTGAATAAGATTTGACAATGTGGACAGTAAGCTAATGGGGGGAAAGTATAAATGGTCATCCGTTAGTCTTAGTTAGGACATACCACATGTTTCCCATATTGAAATTAGATAATATCTCAACTGGGAGAGAAAAAAGGTATTATGAATACTGTATTTTGTTTTATTGGAGAGGTAGCTTCTACATTAATATACAGGCCTATATTCTATGGGTGTTACTGGAAGTACCTTCCTTCTTCATTTGAAATATGCTCAATATGCAACCAAGTTAAATTTTTATCAATTATAAAACCTGAATATTTATAAGTATGAACTTTTTCTAGGATCCAATTATTTAGTCTAATATATATTTGTTCCATTTTTTAATTTTTGTGTTTATGCATTGGCCGATAATTTTTCATACAATCTCTGCTGCCTGCTGTAAAAACTAGAGTTATCCTTGGTATTTTTAACTCGTCTGGAAAGATCGCAATTTTCTAGATTTAATATGTCAATAACTGTTACTCCACCATGGCCTGCAGTAGAGTTCTTTTTCAGGTTGGGTTGGATATGATTTCGCCAATTTCCTGTTCATTGGTATTTCTATGTATATTGAATTATTACAAACAAATTCATTAAATTACTCAAATGTTGACATTAATTTAATGTTAGGGGTCTAATTTTCTTTTAGTGATCTAAATTCTACTACACAATTTGTGGTAGGGCTGGCATTATGTACATTGGGAGCAATCGCTTCTCCCGAAATGGCTAGAGATTTGGCAGGAGAAGTAGAAAGATTAATGAAGTCCCCAAATGCTTACATTAGAAAAAAAGCCGCTCTGTGCGCTTACAGAATCATTAAAAGGTAATTTCAACTCCATTATTTTAGACTTAATTTACCATTTATCAATTATGTATTATTTCTAGAGTACCAGAGCTTATGGAAATATTTCTGCCAGCGACTAGAAGTATGTTGTCGGAGAAAAATCATGGCGTTCTTATTACGGGAGTGGCATTAATCACAGAAATGTGTGAAAATAGTCCAGATACTTTAAACCATTTCAAAAAAGTAAGATACTAATGTAAACATAATTTTTTCCTTGTATTAATATTTTTTCTTTCTATAGATTGTCCCAAACTTGGTGAGGATATTGAAAAATTTAATTCTAGCCGGATATTCTCCTGAACACGATGTTTCTGGTGTTAGTGATCCATTTTTGCAGGTATAATAATATCATTTTCAATATAATGATAAATTTTACTTTTATTTCAAATAAATTTTAGGTGAAAATTTTAAAACTTCTTCGTATTCTGGGAATCAATGATGCTGATACGTCAGAGGCCATGAATGATATTTTGGCTCAAGTTGCCACCAACACTGAAACCAGCAAAAATGTTGGCAACACCATATTGTATGAAACTGTCCTCTCAATTATGGATATCAAGTCTGAAGGTGGATTAAGGGTAATGAAATAGTCTGTTTTTATACTTATTTGAAATTGGTTGAGTGATTCAAAAGTTATTTTCAAACATCTGTACCGATAGATAGACACATTTCACTAAAGGACACCCAAAAGTTTATTTGAAAAAACTGAAAGCTTTTTTCTGTAGAAAAGCATGCTTTACCTCTAGGCATGAATTGACTATACTTTATCAATCATGGTAAATTTGAACTGAAAACTTCAAAAAAAAGTTAAAAAACCCCCTCATTTTTAGGCCAGTCTATAAGCTAAATGCCTATAGTAAAAAAAGACTTCTCTTTGAGCTCTGGCACAAATCCAAGAATATCAAATAAATGTTAAAATATAAACACAAAATAGTCAAAATTTGTCTGAAAAGTGCTTTCTTTTAGCTTTTGTATATCGAAATCCATCTAAATTAGGCTTAAAATGCGTGTTTGACAAAAAAAGTACTAAAATTGGAGCTCATAGTCACACAAATACTTTCCTAGACGCATTATTGGTTCAAAATTGCATTCAAAACTGGGTAATGATCCATATTCGTCCTAAAAGGGTTTTTTTCCTTTTTCTCTCAAAATATAGAAAAAATATCCAAAATAAGAGTAAAAGTGCATTTCCTAGAAATTTTCTGCAATGTTTCTCTTCTTCCTAACCAAAAGCGAGTCAAAAACAATCCAAAGTTGGCTTAAAATGCCCATTTAACAATAAAATAACCTAGATTGAAGCTTATAGTCACACAAATCCTATCCTAGGGGTATTTTGGGTTGATAATTGTATTAAAAACCACAAAAGACATCAAATTTGTCCCAAAAGTGCTTTCTGGTGGCTTTTTCTCATCAAAATCTGACAGAAACAACTTGAATTGAAGCTCATAGTTATACAAATTCTTTCCTAGGCGTTTTTCGGTTCGACATTGCAATAAAAACAACACAAAGGTCCAAATTTGTTCTAAAAGTACTTTCTTTTGACGTTTTCACTTGAGACATGGAAAAAATATCCAATATAAGTGTAAAACTTTCTGCAATATTTCACTTCTTTTCAATGAAATGAAGATCTATCCAAGGTAGGCTAAAAATGCCCGTTAAATAAAAAAAAACAACTTAAATTGGAGCTGATCCATTCCTAGGCCTATTGTTGGTTCAAAATTGTATTAAAACCACAAAATAGACCAAATTTGTCTCAAAAGTGCTTTAGCTTTTGAGTTTTGGCTTGGCTTTTTCTCATTAAAATCCATCCAAATTACGCCTTAATGCAAAGAACCTAAATTGGAGCTTCTATTCATAAAAATCCTTTTGTAGGCGTATTTTTGGTTCAAAGTTGTTTAGGAAATGCCAAAATGGTGCGAATTTGTCTTAAAATCACTTGCTTTTTGCCTTGGATATTTGACAAAAAAAACTTTTCCAGACATAGACGCACCATCATGGTGAGGAGGTAATTTCAAATTTAAGCCCTCACCAGGCTTAGTATTGTGAATGTGATATGCCACTTGCAATGAGGAGTTTCACCATTTTCGAATTTAATCACTTTATTATTTTTAATGAAATGAGGGAAGAATACTTTTTCAGCGACCAATAAGGATCGTTTAGAAATGGCTTTGATATGTTCCTTTTAAGCTCTGAAGAAGCATGAGTGAAGAGTGACAAGACAACATTCGTGGTTCGTTATTTACACGTTATTCGTTTACGTAGTGTAACCTAATTTCTTGTCAGTTTTGTTCAATTTTGATTGGTGGAGAAAACTGACGTTATATTCGGCAGGTGGTTTGGAGTTTGAAATTCTGCCTCAAAAGTAGGAAATTATATTTTTTATAATAAATTAACGACAACCCAAATGTTCCTTGAAATAGTGTGTAGAATTTTTTTTAAAAATCCCTAAATTTCCCCATTTAACTGAACATCAAAAATGCAATAAAAGAAGTTTTGGTAGATCACAATTTGAATGCACTTTTTGGTCATACTGTATGGTCACGAAAAATTCCAGAGATATTTATTAAATGTTTTCTTAAATTGCCAAGATTTTTTTCTCCATTTTCAAATCAAAAAAAATCAAATCAAAAACGCTTCATTATCTGAAGACATACATCTCATTGACGAAGCTCTTAAATGTAAAATCACAAGTCACACTAACATTAATTAAATCACTACACAAATGATATTCGTTAAATAAAAGCGTCTAATCCTAAAAGAAATTACAATCGTAAACTTATTTAAAACATGAAGAAGAAAAATAACAGACAGGATCGGCGAAATCAAGCCAAAAAAAAGAGAAAAACACGACACAAAACTGTCCAACAAAGAGACACTGGCAAACCCACCAACTCTAAAAAACATCGCTATAATACTCAGTCAATCTGTAGTAGGCTCGTCTATCTCAGTGTTGTGGCCTCCCTGACATTGCTTGGTAGGTGATTATACACCTTAATACCGTCATGAAAAATCGATTTCTGGGTTAAAATGGATGTGGGGATGGGCAGGCGTAGACTATTCCGCTGACGTGTTTCATATCTGGGATTATCCGGGGCAAACCTGTGTCGGTTCTTAAATATAACACATGCCATTTCCTGAATACATATAGAGCAGAGTGTGAGGATGCCCTCTCTAGGAAACAATGAGCGACAGGAATCTCGTGGTTTGGCTCTGCAGATGTAACGCAAGGCTCATTTTTGCAGTACAAACAGCATTTGCACAAGACAACTGCCTGCATTGCCCCAGAAGCAAATGCCATGAGAATTAAGAGTTAGAAGATTTGAATCAAACCAATGCTTTACCCTCGGGAGATCAGTTAACATAAGGTCTGTTCCAACACCTCAAAAAACCGTCTGATGAATGGTTTCGAATCCACTCAGTATACGAATTTTGGTTTCTGGGCACAAATTTTAGGTTCTCTGCTGTGTTGGAACAAAGCTATAGTCTCCCCCAGAGACTCGCCATCTAGGCCATGCCAAAGAAGTGTAGTATCGTCAGCAAACAAAGTTAGTTTCCCCCGAATGTCAAGATATGTAAGGTCATTGATGTAAATGAGGAAAAGAAGTGGTCTCAGAACCGAACCATACTCAGAACATGCAGTACCAACAAAAACACGCTGCATACGTCCCTCCAGGTAGGAGGAGAACCAAGACGACGCCACACCTCTAAAACCATAGTGCTGAAGCTTCTGAAGCAAGATCTCATGACTCGCACAGTCAAAAGCCTTTGACAAGTCACAAAGCACCGCAGCAGAAACTTCCCCACCATTAAGTTGATAATACACTTCATAGAGCAGATCATACATGGTGTCATTTGTACTGATATTCTCCTGGAAACCAAACTGACTCCCACTGAGGATATTGTTCAATCTTAAGAAGGACATAATACGGCCCTTAACCAGTTTTTCAATTATTTTTGATAGGGTGGACAAAAGAGAAATGGGCCTAAAGTTAGAGGGATTATCGAGCGATTCACCCTTATGAATTGCGATGATTTTTGCCAACTTTACACATGGCGGGAAATTACCGAGAGACCATCCTCTCCACAAGGGTATTTGTTCTTAATTGAAAATAAAACATCCCTAAGCTCGGCAAGATTGGCCGGCAGAAAGAAAAATGAGTTCTGGACGTTGATGTTTGACAAGAAGGTAACTGGGTCTGTGATTAAAGGATTGATGTTCTGTTGGAGACTCTCAGGAGAAATTTTTGGGTCAGAGGCTGGTTGGCAGTTACACCTTTGTCAGATGTCACCAACAACCTTCCAGCTTTCTCTTGACTTACTTGAGGAGTTTGCCATTCGATCAGAATAATAAGATTGTTTTGAGAGTTTAATTAAGCGACGGTATAGAGAGCGGTAGGTATTGAAATACTGATGAAAAAACTGGGAGTCTGTATACTTTCTCATTGTATGAAGAGAACGCAGATTCCGTGAAAAAGTTCTAAGAACCCTAGTAATCCAAGATTTTCTAGATGTTGGTTTCGATTTAATTTTAACCATGGGAAAAGCCGTATCGAAGAGGCCCACCAGCTTGAAATTAAAACAGGACAATGGATCAGTCGAGGCCATCACACAGCCTCACTCAGTAGTGGCGCAGAAATGGCGGAACTTATTGTAGTTCCGGTCGCCAAAATTCGACCAAGGATGGGCGCGGATCTAGTAGGTAGATCCTTTTATATCCGGAAACCCACACACAATAGCCTCATGATCGGACAAGCCTGAATTCCGGATAGTGCATTTTATTACATTATCCGGATAGTTGGAGCACACATCATCGATAGTGCTTGACGAAAACTATGTACTGCGAGTCGGCGACTTAAAATGCATTTGTAGATTAAAGGACTTGAGCAAATTACATAAACGCAGTGTAAGACCAGAGCTCTTTTCATCAAATAGAATATGAGAAGAGCAGGGGATTTGAAACAAGAGATTTTCTAGACCCGCGTGGAATTCATTGAAGTCAGATAGCGGCGAACGGTAAATTCAAATTATGAATAGATTTTTTAGTTCATCATTAATCACAGTAAATTCAAACGCGGATTCTCTTAAGGCTCGCTTTCCTCGGATGCGGGACGGAGACGGAACGCAAACGTGCTGGAGTCATAGCGCTTCCCGGCGTATCGCGCTAGGGAGGTAGTGCTTTCCTCGAAGGCGACGCGACGCACAGTGATAGAAATTGCAAATCTAGAATTCCAAAAGTCTTAGCTGTATAAATAAATATCTATTTCTGATAAAAAAATAAAAAAAATTAAAAAAATATATATACAGGGAGGGTGTATATTTTAGGTGATACCACTATTGCTATATCCGAAGGGGTAAGAGCTACAAGGTTTGTTAAATTAGAAAAAAGTTGCCTTTTTTGATGCTTATTCAAGACTCGTTCACAGTGTTGCCAAATTCCTTTTAGTTTATGAAATACAGATTCATAACTAGGGCGGAATTAAGGTGAAATTTGGGTAAAAATCACTGATGATCACTTTTTAGAGCAGAAACGTTGGCCAATCATACTTAAGAGGTATATCGTTAAAAAGGGAATAAAGGGCGCTTTTTAAAAATGACATAAAAAATTCAGGTCCGTATTTAAAAAAATGAAGTTGATGATGGTAACTCGATCACGAAACGTCAGATTTAAAATTTGAAGATGCCACGTTGTAGAGAGAAAGAAATTGTAAAACTTTCAAATTTAAATTGTGTCTCGAAACTCAATAGTTTCCGAAATAATTGATGAAATATTTTTAGGCGATTCTCAGAAATCACCCTGTATTTTCTAAACTAAAAGTAATTTGGCAACACTGTAAACGAGTCTTGAATGGGCATCAAAAATGGCAACTTTTTTCTAATTTAAGCGACCCTGTAGCACTTACCGTATCGGATATAGCAATAGTGGTATCACTTAAAATATACACCCTGTATATATATATATATATATATATATATATATATATATATATATATATATATATATATATATATATATATATATATATATATGAAATGATCAAAATAAAATCCAACTTGATTGGTATTCTAAACCAACAAGCTCAGGTAGATATATCAACTTCAATTCCTACCATACAACAAAAATGAAAATAAATGTTATATTAGGATTACGCCGAAGAATTGAGAGAATTTCCCACCCTGAATTTAGAGAAAATAACATAAAAAAACTTTATAATATAATGAAAGATAACTCTTATCCAGATGCTTTTCTCAAAAAATATTTATACAATACGTCACTTATTACAAATAATTCTATGGGGAATAACCAACAAAATAATAATATTATAATAAATAGTAATGATCCTCAGATACAAAATAAAATATATTATTTTGCATTACCATATATTAAAAGTGTCTCACAAAAAGTAATCAAAATATTAGAAATTATACCAGACATAAAAATTGCACACAAACATATCAATAAAATAGGCAATTTATACTCTAAAGTCAAAGACAAAGATGAAACTTTAAAACAATCTTCAGTAATCTATAAAATTCCTTACGAACAATGTAATCAAGTTTATATCGGTCAAACATCAACTGTATTAAAAGATAGGATAACACGACATAAAAGTGATTGTAGAAGAACTATTCTTTCTTGTGCTCTTTCAGAACATTCTACTAAAGAAGGACACGATTTTGATTTTGGAAATTCACAAGTGATTATTCATGAACAAAATTTAAATAAACGTTTGTTTCTAGAAATGGTAGAGATATCTCAAGAACCTTTATGCCTAAATAAAAGAAAGGATATTCAAGATCTCAGTAGTATTTATTCGAACCTACTTACATCTAATTAAATTTATTCCTAAAATTACCTAACTGGTCTAGTGATGACACCAAAAATCAATGTCTATGAGAAACTAGTATTTATACACTTCAAAATTTTATTCTACATATTCTTCTATCTCTTCTATTTTTCTTATATCTATCAATTATTGTTTATTAATTATTTTTCCATATTTTTAACATTTATATTCTGTACAGTTTGATAGTCAAAATAGAATAACAACAATTTTCCGACAATTTGAAAGCTTTTCGACTATAAAATTCTCACTTTGCAAGTAAGTTATAGTTAAAAATTTATATGTCCTAGTCATAGTTTTGATTATTCATAATAATAAGATCTTTTATATTGTTGTAGCCCTGACGAAGGCAATAAATAATTGCCGAAAGCTCGGCTTAGTGGAAAAAGAGATTTTTATTTCCTAGCCCTTCAAGACGACCGATACCCCAAGAAACTCCCATTGTTTATATATATATATATATATATATATATATATATATATATATATATATATATATATATATATATATATATATATATATATATATATATATATATATATATATATATATATATATATATTTCTGATAAAAAATAATTTCAGTTGATCTTCTTATGTTCAAGATATAATAATAGGCATATTTTATACATTGGCGCACATAATCTTTAAATAGTGGTGGGAGTAGTACCTAATAATCATATCCGCATAAAATTGGTTTACAGGTTATAGGGCTTGTTTACTTTAAACAGGATTCTTAACATTAGGGAGGTTCTAACTAAAAATTTATTTATTAATAGAAGCGACAAGATGCGCAAAAAAAATTATATCTATTTTAAAAGAGCAACTATTGTAGACCATTATGGGCCGATTGGGTCCGAGTCTGAATGGGTCCCACAAAAGTTCTGCTCCAAGTCTTAGAAATATCATATTTTTTATCTTGATTTATTACAATGTTTTTTCTACATGAACTATTGGTTAACTTTTACTTTCACAGCAACCAAAATAGTTTAAAAGTAAAGTACTTACCTCCATAGATTTCCATTTCAAATAACTTTGTTATAGCGCTTATAGACTCTTGATACTAACTGTTCAAATTCCACGCAAATAAAATGAAATATCGTCTCCATGCATTAAATAATAAAACAACATAGGACAGGATAGGACATTTCCTTGCGAGTGCGCATATCCGTAAAAAAAAAAACATATTCAGAACGCAAGCAAAAAATTGTTTATCGTGATAAGGATTTAGATTTTAACTTTTTTTGTTCAGCACACATTTCTGAAGACGTGAGGATAATTTTTCCGCCAATTTGTTGCTACCAAAATGTGGACTTTTGGAATCCTGGATTGGCGATATCCATCACTGTGCGACGTGGGCGGTTCGGCAATCCGTGTATGGAAATGGATTATCAAGATTCGCTATTTTTTATTTTAATAGACATATAAAGAGATAAATTATACAACACGGGATACTGCCTCACTAAATCAATCAACAACTCACTTTGCTCTTCTGTAAAATTCGACATTTTTCAATTTATAATATAATATTCCGTCCGAGTTGCGCTCCGTCGAAGTTGCCTGTCGACCGACCGGTGGCGTGATTCCGCTAGCGTCAAAAAAACTGTGCGACGGCGCGTCACCGCTGCTTAGGAAAGCACATTTTCATATTTTTAATGACGGCAACGTCTGCGGCATCCGTTCCGTCTCCGTCCCGCATCCGAGGAAAGCGAGCCTTTAGAAGATTATTTAATTTATCTTTTCATTGAAAAGAGCTCTGCCTTAAAAACAATTCACTAACTAAGATCATACATCCCCCATGAGACAATTGGGTCCAACAATAATTGGCAAGCACCATATAATCCGGAACATACACCAATTCGTCCAACTTTAGCCAGTGCTCTGGGAGCAGAACGATGTTTGGCTCATTGAGATCGTGTAAAAGTAAGGATAGTTCACTTGTTTTATTTCGAAGAGATTGCACAATGATAAAAACACATCACGATTCCTAGCTGTCACCGACTTGACGCCGGTAGGGATGGACTTGTGGATAAAAAATTATTATCTTCGAGTTGTAAGCTTTGTGCCGATCTCTGAATCGATGTTCCTCGGTCTGGTTCTAGGTTTTGCTGCAGGCTCCGAATGTCAGAATCCTGAGAGGATAGAGATGCATCACTATTAATAATAAAACAATTCACCAGGGATTCAGTCATATGTTGTTTGGCCACGGGCCAAGGTGATATTTGTGGCAAAACCGTTGCATCAGATATACCTTTAACACAATTGCTGATGGTGAAGTTTTAGGCCGCAAGCATTTTATTCAGGACGGGGCGATTTGGTGATAGTGATGCTCTTATTATTCATTTGCGCAAGTTGTTGGCGCGATTGTGTCAGTTCTACCGCACTTGCTTCACTGTCCCTCTCTAAGACTTCTATTGTGATGATCATGCTCCTGTTTAATTCAGTCAATTCCGTTATTTCGTTGTGACGCTTTCCATCGACTTCTTTGAAGGTTTGAAGCTTTTCTTTAAGCTCTTCCTTGACTTTTAACTCCAAAATTCTGTTTGATAGTTTCTCAGTTTCCCCCTTCTGTGCCTCGAGCTTAGAAACAAATTTATTTTCAGCTTCATAAACGGCTTCATCAAAAGCAACGCTATTACGTTTTAGTCGTTGAATGTATTTATTCTGCACTTCGAGCTCCTCCTGTAGCTCGTTTAAGCGACGATTCATTTGAGTCAACCGATCAGCATTGTCGCTTTCTGCCTCTTGGCATTTTGGCATAATATCCTTGCAACGATCCAAATAACTTTGATAGAATACATTAGAGCATGTGACACAGCAATAATTAGCAAAATCCTTGTTTCTACAGCATTAAATGATCGTTGCATATTATGGCTTGACTTGGTTTGCGAACTCTCAAGTTTACTAGCGCATTACGTTGCTAAAACTCTTAAAGGGGGTGTGACCCAAAAATGAAAGTTTTAATGCAAAAAAATCTAAGAATAAATATTCAAACCGCATCTTACTACGATGGTCCGTTTTCGAGTTAGGGCGGTTTAAAGTTACAACTAGGCGTTTGTGACGTCACACTGGATTTTCAGGGACAGTATTAACACGTGTAAGAATTCTCCAAAACAAAAGATAATTATCTCCTAGAGCAAATTGCTTCTCAAAGTATAGGGTACGGTTCACTGACGACTGAAAGACCAGAAGACTGCGATTTCGGCGGTTGTGACATCACAATTTCCTGCATAATTGATCTTCACAAGGAATTTTCTCGGAGACTATTTTGAATACAGGACTGCGGTTTTCACAAGAGATCTGTTTTTATTTGCTTTGCTGGTTCAAATTGTATTTAACTTAATTGCCCTTTTAATTGAGGGAAATAGACTCAAAAATAGAAAAACGACTTGGGAACATTGTTTCTTAATCATCAGTATATTGCAAGTACACAACAACGTTCAAAAAGCCAAAATGGAAATCAGAATAAAAACCAAATCGAAACAATTACAACGTCATTCTTATTTCTTCTTTTTATTAGGGTCATTTTCGCTTGCGCTGGCTGCCCTCTCCAGGTGTGTCTGTCATCTGTGGGATTTTAATTGGCGGTGTTGCCAAGAGTATTTAAAGTCTTTTAATAGGTAGCAACAAAGAAAAAAAATGTTTTTAAATTTGACCATAACTCCCCCCTTTGAAGGAGTCGAAAGAGTCCTTCAAAACAAAATAAGTTAGTGGAAAGTTCACAGCGATACACATATAGGTGGATTTAATTGTCTGTTTCGTCCTGTAACGGAAGTGGACACAAATGTCTTATAGATCGATGAACTTTTCCATTTTTGGTACGGATTTCTGCAACTCTGGGTGAATCATCTCTACTTGGCACAAATCCAAGGACTCGTCCGATAGGCCACAGGTATGGTGGTCGTTGGTCATTGCGAAGTAGCACCATAGTACCAGCCGTTATCTTCGTAGGGATATCTTTCCATTTGTATTGCTGATGTAACTGGGATACATAGTGCTTTGAAAATTGCGTCCAAAACTGTTGATGCAATTTTTGAACGTGCTGTAATCTGGATAGTCTATTAGATGGCGTTTCTTGAAGGTTAAGTTCGGGAAGAGAATTTAATGCTCGGCCGATGAGAAAATGGGATGGGGTAATAGGAATTAGGTCGTTGGGATCGTCAGACATTGAAAAGAGAGGTCTTGAATTGAGAATACCTTCGACTTGAATTACCAATGTATTAAACTCTTCAAACGTAACATTTTTATTAATAAGACTCCTTTTCAAATGGTGTTTAGCGCTTTTAACCGCCGCTTCCCATAATCCGCCGAAATTCGGTGTATAAGGTGGTATGAAAACCCACTTAATGTTGTCACAACTAGTTGAGTCAATGATAGAGTCAAAATTGTTATTGAGAAAGTGACCAAGATTTTTCAACTCATTGTTAGCACCTACAAACGTGCTACCATTGTCAGAATAAATCGTTGCGGGGATGCCCCTTCTAGAGGTAAATCGTTTCAAGGCAGATAAAAAATGTTCGGTAGTTAAATTGGCAACTATTTCCAAATGGACTGCTTTGGTGCAGAAGCAAACAAAGACAGCTAAATAGCATTTCACTAATTTGGATCCTCTGCCTGGTTTATTCAAGACAAAAAATGGTCCTGCATAATCCAAACCGGTTATTTGAAATGGAAGGCTAGGTTTGACACGATTGTCCGGCAATGGAGCCATAGGACAAGTACCAGGCTTAGGATTGAATTTAAAACATGTGATACAGTTTCTTGTTATTTTCTTGGACAAGTTTCTGCCTCCGGTTGCCCAATAGAATTGTCTCACTGATGCCAACAATAAGCTAGGATGCAATAATTGTTTATGTTTGTGTTCAAAAATTAATTTTGTTAGTTGATGCTTTCCATCTAATAAAATAGGATGCTTAATATTGTATGGCAAATAAGTATTTGTTAACCGACCTCCAACGCGAATTATTCCATTGCTATCAATAAATGGAGCTAATGAAGAAAGCTTATGCTTCTTGTCTAAACAAACTTTATTTAAAACATTGATTTCACAAGAAAAAGATTCGTGCTGGGCTAATCGAACTAGAATGTTTCTTGCATTGTCAAGTTCAGATACCCTGATTGGACCTAATTGTAAGTTTTGGTTTGATCTTTTAAGTTTTAAATTGTTAAAAAATCTAATGCATAACACAGTTATACGTTGCAGCTTATGGAAATTGGAAAACATGGAGAAAAGGAAAGAGGGCTCTGATACTGTAACTTTTAGAATAGCTACTTTCTTTTTAATTTCTGGTAATTGATCTAACGGAATACATGAATTGTCTGGAGGCCAATCCAGTTCAGATTCTCTCAGAAACTGTGGACCACTCCACCACATAGAATTGCAAATTAAATTTTCAGATGAAATACCTCTGGAGGCTAAATCTGCTGGATTTTCCTTTGTATTGACATATTTCCAGCTGTTCACCTGTGTCAAAGATTGAATCTTGCAAACTCGGTTAGATACAAAAACTTGCAATAAACTGGGCTCGGATCTTATCCAACCAAGAGCTACCTGAGAGTCGGACCACATAAAAGTTGGAACTGAAATGGGAATTGCATTCTTGACTAGATTCATTAATTGAGCTCCTAGGAGGCTAGCACATAACTCAAGTTTAGGGATTGTAAGAACTTTTAATGGAGCCACTTTGCTCTTGGCACAAAGTAAATGGACCTCAAAATCACCTTTTGCATTCATAGAGCGAAAATAAATGCAAGCAGCGTATGCATCTTTTGATGCGTCACAAAAACAATGAACATCGATAAGCTTAAACCCATTTGGAATTACATTTCTAGTGATATTTAAATTGTTTAAGGAAGATAATCCATTCTGAAATTGAAGGAATATTTTTTCTAACTCCAAAGGAATGGAACTATCCCATGGAATTCGAAGAGACCACAAACGTTGGATGATCATTTTTGACAATATAATTATGGGACTTAAAAGGCCTAATGGGTCGTATATTTGTGCAATTGTCGACAGAATGTATCGTTTGGTAATGGAGGTGTTCGTGGAAGAAAATTGTTTAATGGCATATTTTAAAAAATCTGAATGAGTTAACCATGAAATTCCTAGAGTCTTACAACTTTCATTTTTCCCAAATGATAAAGTAGAATTGGATATGTGAACATCATTTAATCCATCAAGAACCTGTACATTATTTGATACCCATTTTCTAAGTATAAAGTGCCCTGATGCTAAAATTGAAGAAATCTGTTTGCAAATTGTGTTTAATTCGTGCAAATCATTAGAACCTGTCAGTAAGTCGTCTACATAGAAATCATTCAACACAATTTGGCATGCATCAGGAAATTGTTCACGATTTTCATGGGCTAACTTGTGTAGACATTTAATTGCTAAGTATGGAGCAGAACTAGTGCCATACGAAATAGTATTCAATTGATAAGTAGAAAGTTCCTCGTTTGGATTGTTTCGCCATAAAATTTGCTGTAATGGACGATGATCAGAATGCATCAGAACACAACGATACATTTTTGATACATCGGCAGAAGCCACGTAGATATAGGTTCTGAAACGCAGCAAAATGTCAATGATATCGTTCTGAACCTTGGGGCCAACATACTGTAAGTCATTCAAAGACCAGCCTGTGGTGGTAGGACAGCTACCATCGAAAACAGTCCTTAATTTGGTAGTTATGCTGTCCTGCCTCAAAACCCCATGATGAGGTAAAAAATAGGCATTTGAAATAGGTTTGGAAATTTTGTTCTCATTAGTAAGTTTGGTCATATGACCTAAAGACTCATATTCTTGAATGAAATCGAAGTAAAGTTTCTTGAAATCGGGATTTGCAAATTTCTTTTCTAGGGAATAAAATCTTTTAATGGCTGTCTCTTTGGAATCACCTAACAAAGAAGATGGATGTTTGAGTGGAAATTTGACCACGAATTGTCCTTGCTCATTCCTAAAGGTATCTTGTTCAAATAGTGTTTCACATTCAGTATCTTCAGTTTTAGAGGGAGTAGAACCTTGTACTTCCTCAAGCTCCCAGAATTTCTTCAATTGATCATCCTCTGGAATGTGTACCTTGATGAAATTGCAAATAGAAGTGTTGGATAAAATAGGGCAATTGCCGGTAACAATGTAACCAAATTTGCTATTTTGTAGCGTTGGAAGATGGGTACCTAATTTTATCTTTCCTTCCAGGATCAGATCCCAAAATAGGCTAGCACCTATTAGCAAATCAATGCCTTTGGAGGTATTAAATTCTGGGTCAGCTAATTGTACTTGACTCGGTATAATCCAATTGGTAACATCAACGGAATGTAAAGGAATATTACTGGTTATAATAGGAGTGACAAAGCATGAGATTGTGCATGTAAAATCAGAACAGTTGGAAAATAGAGAAATTGTGCATTTTTTATTAAGTTGGGAGGTTACTTGTGTGACACCAACAATGGACAGATTAGCAGGGGTACATTGTATATTTAACTTGTTACAAAATGGTTCGCTAATTAAATTAGATTGAGCACCACTATCTAGTAGAGCCCTACACCTTTGAAACTTCCCTGTTGAATCTTTAACATTGCATATAATTGTGGATAACATAACCTGAGAATTGAAATTGGTTTCTGGTTTAATGGGTTTAACTAACATGTTTAAATTGGTTTCGATCTGTGTTCGAGTTTGATTTAGATCAGAATTTTCTTGGGTATTAAAATGTAATAGTGAATTGTGTTTAAAGGACTTATTTTCTGATTTGCATATTTTGCAAGGCGAAAGATTGCATTGATTAGAAGAATGACCCGTCCGCAAACAATTACGACATAAATTTAATCGTTTTACGTTCTCTGATCTATCCTTTACATTTAGTTTCAAAAAATCTGAGCATTTATAAATAGTGTGGTTTTCTTTACAAAAATTGCATTTAAGCGAAGACGCTGTCCATTCCTTATTTTGGGCAAAATGAATTTGTGATTGATCATATTTTTTAAGAGGATATTTTCTATTAAATGATTGAAAATTATTTGGCTTTTGCTCAGGTACCACACTATTAGCCTTAAATGACTGCTCCAATGATTGTAACAAATCGACTTTATTCTTTATGAAATCTAAGAATTCATCCAGGGTAGGCAAATCTGAATCATAATCGAGCTCTTTCCAATCGCGCAAACTGCTTTTATCCATCTTACTCGACACTAAATGAATAATAAAGGAATCAAATAGAATTTCTGAATTTAAATTCATGACATTAATGGCAGTCAAATGTTGAGTTAATTGATCCAACATCTGACTCAATTGCTCAAAATTTTCTTTTTGAATTTTAGGAGTATTTAACAAACCTTGAAAGTGAGAATCTAACAAGAACTGTTTTTTATCAAACTTGTCACATAATATCTCCCATGCTCTAGTGTACGGTTTATCTATTCCGTCCAAACCCTCGACAAATCTAGCTGCATAACCTTCTAAAGAAGCTTTTAGGTATTGGAATTTTTGTAATTCAGTTAAGCTTGCATTATTTGAAATAATAGATGTATAGTTACTCTTAAAGCTAAGCCAATCTTCAAATTTGCCTGTAAAAATTGGTAATTTAATTTTCGGTAATAAAACATTTTGTAACGAATTGGAATTTTCTTGAATCGAGGTTGGGTTATTCAACTCTGCAGGATTCAAACGATTCTCCTCAATTGAAGGCTTTTCATTATTTAAATATTGTGTTAAAAAATCTTGGGTTACATAAAATCTTTCTTGAAATTCTTCACGTTCTTCATAATGAACATCTAAGTCCGTTTCCTCGCATAATGACTCTATCATTGACTGCACCTGATCAAATTCTTGCAATAAAATTGAACCATTTTTAGATCGGAGCTCGACGTCATTGATATTGGGCTTATTTTGAGGCAAAGAAGCTTTAATTGAAGTAATATATTTTTCTAGAATGGTTAATTTATGCTTAATTGTACCTCTGTTTCTGATTAATCGTTTTAAATCGAGTGAAGCTGATTCCTTCGCAGCTCCTTGTTCGGAAACTGTTCCAGAACCACTGGGTATCTGATCTCGATCCATTATTTTCTAACCTTCAAATAGGTAGGTAGGTTTAAATATCTTGGTAAATTGAAGTAATTTCACAAAAAACTAGTAATGACAAGCTCAGCTCAATATTTAGCAAAATCTTAAATAAATTATAGGCTAATACCTCAAAGAAATAATCGTTAATAGGTATGAAAAGAATAATAACTCAATAATCGAAATCGAACGTAAAATAATTGTTTTAAACTGGCTAATTAACATAGATATTCTACAAACCTCACTTTTAATGGCAATGAAAATAGGAAAATGGATAAAATTAAAGGATACCTGCTCTTTTAATGCACAAATGCAGTCCCAAATGGCCAAAATGCGGTTCACAGAAATGGCGTCACTAATTTTTCGCTTTTTCACTGGATTAATTGGGAAACTCCAAGAATCCGTGTCGAAGGACCAAATGTTTTTATTTGCTTTGCTGGTTCAAATTGTATTTAACTTAATTGCCCTTTTAATTGAGGGAAATAGACTCAAAAATAGAAAAACGACTTGGGAACATTGTTTCTTAATCATCAGTATATTGCAAGTACACAACAACCTTCAAAAAGCCAAAATGGAAATCAGAATAAAAACCAAATCGAAACAATTACAACGTCATTCTTATTTCTTCTCTCTATTAGGGTCATTTTCGCTTGCGCTGGCTGCCCTCTCCAGGTGTGTCTGTCATCTGTGGGATTTTAATTGGCGGTGTTGCCAAGAGTATTTAAAGTCTTTTAATAGGTAGCAACAAAGAAAAAAAATGTTTTTAAATTTGACCAAGATCTTAGAATTTTTTTCTTGATTCAAGTAGCTTAAGTCGTTTTTTAGGGTCACACCCCCTTTAATTGAACAAATAAAAAAGAAACAAAACAAAAAAAATGCATAAATTCGCTCACACAGTGATAAACGCTACCTCAGGTATGCGGTTGTTCATATTGAGTTATTGTTCTCGCATTCCTGCTATTGTCCTCACTGAGATTCAGGACTACTGCTCAACAACGCGCGTTTCCTATTTTTCAATTTTTTAATTGGGGGTTGTTCATGTAGATCACAATTTGACAAAGATACAGACATAAAACACAACTGTACTGTTCATGAATGACACAAGAAAACAATTAAATTTACGCACGCACACGACGGCGACTGTACTGGAAGATAAAATTCATAGTAGATGGTCTACTAATACCTAATATATTTTCGTTGGTGGGTATTGTGTTGAAGGATGTTTTGAGTTAACGAAAAATGTACCTCAATTGTTAACAAAATTTCTTTTCTAGGTTTTGGCTGTAAATATTCTAGGAAGATTTCTGCTCAACAACGATAAAAATATCCGTTATGTGGCACTGAATACGTTATTAAGGACTGTACATGTTGATACTTCAGCTGTTCAGAGGCACAGGTCAACGATATTAGAATGTTTAAAAGGTATGACATTTTTTAATCTTTGAACAGCAATCAAGTTACAAAAATCCATTACAGATCCAGACGTCTCGATTAGAAGAAGAGCAATGGAGTTGTCGTTCGCTCTAGTCAATTCCCAAAACATTAGGACCATGATCAAGGAATTATTGTCATTTTTGGAAAAGGCTGATCCTGAATTTAAGGCTCCATGTTCCAGCAGCATTGTTTTGGCCGCAGAACGCTATGCGCCCAACAAACGCTGGCATTTGGACACTTTGTTGAAAGTGCTTGTGGCGGTAAGAATTTTAATTTTTTTTACTTATCCTACAAGTGGTATCCTACAAGTTTTTTACACAAGTGATGAGTTTGGCTAGCTGAGAGGACTGTACTTTTTTCATGACTGCTTAGAATCAAATTTCAGAGCAACTTGATTTATTTTACTGTTTATACTGTCACAATTGCCCACTTTACGGGGGTGACATGGGGGGTTTGTAGCTTTGGGGGTTGATGGAGAGAAACTCACTCAGGTTATATAAAAATATGGATATATATTTTCCCAAATATGCCCTTACATGTACGCTAATCCTATAAGATGCATGACCCTTCGAACACGGGGGGTCCTTATAGGGAGCCACACGTCAATGCTGCTTTGGGGACTGTCGATTTGTTATCGTCACCCTTATGCCTTGTCCAGAGGGGCGTTCCCAACGAGAGGTAATTGCACTGGACAACGATAAGGCTGAAGATACCCACAGGGGCTTTCCCAACGAGAGGTACTTGCACTGGGGAGACTTAATTCCAGAGGGGCTTTTCCAACGAGAGGTACTTGCACTGGTTTAAGTCTGCCTTTGCTGCGGCTTGCAGCGCAATTTATATCAATCTATTGCTGAATTGCAATAAACATTCGATCGAATCGGTAATTAAATTAATAAGGTTGAATACCGGGTCCTCCTTTCCTAAGCAGCTAGTTGACAATACATAATATTAAATCTACCCTGTTTAAAGTAGGTACCTATTATTGGAATTAAAGAGTTTGAATGTATTTAGGCAAAAATAAATATTTAGGTCGAGGCTAAATAAGTAATTCTGCCTCAAGGCCAAAAAAAAACTTTTGAAATCAGTTTTTTTCTGAAAACTGTAAAAACATATACATTTATTTAAATATTAGACACAGCTACACTATGCAATACGTGTGGTTATGCTTTGAAGGACAATTAAGAGAAGATCGAGCTCACATTCAACAGATACTCCGCTAGCTACATAACGGTTTCGAACTTATTAGTTCTTTTCATTGCAACACAAGCAGCATACCAATTCGGAGAACAAGATTGATATAAGAACCACAACTTTCCATAATATGGAAAATAGTCCGATATACGTTTATGTATTATTAGCATAAGCAAAGTCGTCTTATTGATTCTTATGAAGGCTCTGAAGTGAATATTCCCAATTATTATTTAACAGAAGTATTCTTTTATGTGTTTTCTCGGATCAGCTTCAAACCTTTCAATATTGTCGGGGTATTTTCTATGGAGTCTGGCAAACTGTTGTTAGGTTTTTGAACCATTATGAAAAATATTATTTTCCGCAAAATTGGTATTTAATGTTTTGCTATAAATATCATTAACCTAGTGGGAAATTTCTGATTTATCATTTGGTACACATGTTTTTTGTTCACATGTCAAAGTTTGAGTATTGACTGTTTGTGTATCTAATCTTGTTCGCAGTACCTACTCATTATTTGTATGCATCACACTTCATTATTAAAATTATTGACATTACACAAGCAGTTGTCATGGTTAATAACTGGGCATATACAGGGTGTCCCACTAAGGTCGACGAGGTACGACAATATGGAATAGTTATTTGCATAATAACTTGAAAATGAATGCAGATATTGAATTGCGGTTTGCGCCAAAATGTAGATATTTTTTTGCTCTTTAAGCACAGCAATAAAAAAATAATATCATGCCATTTGGATTTTTCGAGAAAATTAGAAAAAAACTGAATCTTGGTTAAACAGCGCCCTCTAGAAGACGTGGTGGTAACTATCGACCCCCAACGAAGTGGTCTTAATAATAATAATAATAGATTTATTTACGGAACCAGCCATTTTACCAATATAAATTTTACAAATATAATGTAACAACATGAATTAAACCTAGTTTAGTTAAAAATAATAATAGGGCATACTAACATCCCAGTAAAACGGTCTATTTTTCATTGCAGTTTTTAGTTGGGGTAGACAAGAATTAAACATATCAACATTCGAACAAAAAACATTACACAATTCACACGATTCATTTAAAAATGATAATCTGCCATAGTTTGTTCTATGGTGTACATCTTAAACAAGTCAAAACTACAGAGGCATGTCTGAGGTACATTTATCAGACTCATACTCAATAAAGGTGAACAATCAATACTGCAGTTTATAATCTTATAAGTAGTGTTTATATCTATAAATTTTCATCTCTGTTCTAAAGATGGAAGGGTAAGCAATTTTTGTATTTCCGAATAAATGATGTGATCCGATATTAGACATTTTATAGGCACAGAACCTCAAAAACTTACGTTGTACTCTCTCTAACCGATTAATGTGAATATTGTAGCAAGGTGACCAAACTTGGGATGTATATTCCAGCGTAGATTGAATGTAAGCACAATATAAAGCCTTGAAACACAACAAATCAGAAAAATCCCTCAGCGTTCTTTTTAAAAATCCCAATGTTTTCAATGCTTTGTTAGTAATATAATCTATGTGGTCGGTAAATGTTAGTTCTTGATCAAAAATTACCCCTAAATCCTTTATAGTATTTACTTTTTCCAATAGCACAGAGTTAGCCCTGTATTCATAATTTATCAAATTTTTCTTCCTAGAAAATGATGTTATTTTACATTTGGTAACGTTGAGTTGCATGCCATGTATTTGACACCACAATACCAAGTCATCTATTTTTTTTTTGAATCTTTTGACAATCTTCTACAGATGTAATATTTTTGAAAAATTTCAAGTCATCCGTGTAAGAAAGAGACTCTGAGTATTTAATATATTCTCGTATATCATTAATTAAAATATTGAATAATAATGGAGACAAATGGCTTTCCTGTGGAACACCAGATGTAACTAAAATTTCCCTGGAGCAAACATTTTTAAGTTCAACAATCTGATGTCTATGACAAAGATAATGCTATACCCAGTTCAACATGCTTCCAAAAATACCTGCAGCAGCTCTTAGCTTATTGATTAAGTTACCATAGACTTGAAGGGGATCTTGGGGAGATAACTGAAACCAACAAGAATATGCTGACCACCATCCAAGTGCTCTCAGAAGAAAAGAAATCCTACTTAGAAGAGCTGAAGAGTGCGAAAGTAAACCTACTACATGCTAAAGAGGAATTAAAAACAACTAAATCTAGGTGTGATAGTTTGGAGATGATAGGGCATCAACAGTCTTTAATTGGAGCTAGACCCTCAGAAGATCTTGCAAAGTGTTGTGAACCCACTGCCGCAGATGACTCATTTACTCTGATAAATGACAACAGTGTGTTGAAAGACTGCATCACCCTGGATAAAGAAATGGAAACTGCGAGACATCGGGCGAATGCTTCTTATTGTGTGCCCAGAAAATGCATTGTTTGCGGAGACTCCAGCGCAAGATCCCTGTCCACGACTATGTCTAAACTTGTGAATTCATCTCACATGATAAAAGGGTATGTTTATAATGGACTTAATATGAAAAGTCTTGTGGAAAGGATGTTCTTATTATCATTTGATTTGACTGAAAATGATACAATTGTTGTAAGTTTAAATTTAAATTCTACATCCCCTAGTATCGCTGATATTGGGAGGATCCTTTCTATGGGTAGTACCACGAATTTAGTATTAATGTTGAAGTGTAATTTTAGGGATTATCCAGAGGCAAGATTTCATAAATTGAGTGGGTTTGTGTCAGAATATGTTCAAAAAAATAATTGTAGTATAAGACTAATTTCAAATACATGTACAAATTCTAGATACAGACACACATTTCGGTCGCTGAGCAAACTGCTCGCTTTGTATGTTGAAACTAGTGCAGTTCTTGGTAGAAAATTAGTTTTGAAATCGGTTCCGATTACCGTTGAATGTAATGCCTCTCTTTTTTATGTCCAAAGTTTGGATAGTCATGTCAGTAATTGTATGCAGGGAGACTTGGATAATAGTAATATTGAAATTCAAACAAAAAGCTTCAATGCACTAGTCAATACACCTTTTTTAGACAGGGGTCAAGTGGTAAAAAACTTGACCTAGTGTTGTTAAATATACAATCTTTGAGAAACAAAGTTTCAGAATTGGAATTGTTCTTAGCTGATTTAAACTACCCAGGCATTGTTCTTCTCACTGAGCACTGGTTAAGGGATGATGAGCAGATATTTTTGCAACAGTATAGTTTAATATCTAAATATTGTAGGTCAGATGCAGTGCATGGTGGAACACTCATAATGGTACAGCAGAGATTGTTTGAAGTATTTAAAATAATCAATTTAGATAGATATAATAGTTTAATAATTGAAAAGGAATTCGAATTTTCAATTGTGTGTTGTTTGCGACCTTTGTTTTATGTTTTGTGTATCTATAGACCTCCTTCAAGCAATGTTGATGCGTTTTTTGCCAGATTGGAAAAACTTTTAACAAGCCTACCTTTGAATGCCCTAATAATATTGACAGGAGATTTAAATATTAACTTTTTAGATACGGGATCGGCTTCGGTGCAGACTTTGAATGGCTTACTCTCCTCTATTAATTTAAAAGTACATGTAAAGGAACCCACTAGAATTACTGCGAATTCAGCGACATTGTTGGATTATATTTGTACAAATTCTGATGAAGGGAGAGTGAGTTGTTCAACAGTTGGTGCGGGTCTTTCCGATCATGAGGCGGTTGTGTGTGGACTGGAGGTGGAATGTGACTATGGCACAGTTAAACTGCCAAAAGAGTACAAACGACTTTACTCTACAGGTAACTTTGAGACATTTTTGAGACTCTGCGAGCATACAGACTGGACCGAGATTGGTAGATGTGAGAATTCTTTGTCGGAGTTGCATTCTGCTTTGTTGAGTGTTTTTTATAGATCTTTTCCGCTTAGAACCAGGAAGTGTAAGAGTAAAAAACTGTGGATTACAAAAGGTATAAGAGTATCGGCTAGAAATATGCGTTCTTTGCATTACATTAGGAAGTTTTATTTGGGGAATGATGGTTTTATGCTTTTTTTCAACAAATATCGTAAAATATATAGGCAAGTAGTTAAAACCGCTA